GTGTGGGGGAGCCGCCCCATCTGCCCCGGGCTCCTGACCCTCACCCGTGGCGGCACAAAGCTCAGTGAGGGAACCGGGAACAGGCTGGAGCTGCAGACTTGATCCCTGTCCCCACTGACTGGGTGGGAGGGTGGATCAAAGCCACGTGGCTCTGGCCTGGCTCCTGCTGTGAGCAGGGTGGCTACAACTCCCCGTGGCCACTGGCCCAACGAGCCCTGCAGCGAGCAGAGCGTGAGGCTCCCTGGCCCAGGGGTCTGAGCTGAGGCTGAGCTCTGGCTCATCCCTGTGGAGCTGGGCTCTGCTGTACACTGGGGCAAAGCTCCTGGGGAGGAGGGTGCTCCTGGCTTGTGCTGGGCTCCTGCTGAGCGTCTCAATTATTTTTGGCTAATCAAATCCAACAAGCTGCCGAAAGCTCCTCCCCATCCTTGTGCCCACCTTCTGCCCTCCCACGTGCTCCCTCCATCAGTTTGCTCCCAGAGAGGCCGTTGTCTGCTGGGTGACCTGTCCCCAGGTGGCTCCAGGCTGGGCTGTCTTTTCTTTCCCCGTTAAATTCCTTTCAGCCTCGAGTCCCAGTGAGGGTGGCAGTGAAAAGAAGGCAGCAGTGGCTGTGTGGGGTCACTGCAGGAGACAGAGCGTGGCTCAGGGCCTCCTCCAGCAGGGCTGGGCCCACCAAGGGCTTTCTGACAGCAGAAAGGACCTGGCCAGGCTGCAGCTTTGCCTCCAGCACTGGCAGGACCTGTCTCAGACCCAAGGAGCTCTTCTGGGGTGAGCCTGGCAGCAATGCAGCCCCCACCGGGCTGCTCCTGGTGGGTTTCAGGGCTGGGGTGAGCGTTTCCCTTCACCCCTTTCTGAATCCCTTCTGAAATGGCTCGGGGGGGTGGAGAGGGGCCAGACTCCTCCAGGGCATGCACCACAGTGGGGCTGCAGCTGCCCTTTGGCTCTGGAGCCTTTGCTGGTGGGTGGTAAGGTGGAGGAGCAGGGTCAGCTCAGGTCTCCCCAGGTAGGAGAAGTTCTCCCCTGGCAGGAGAGGTGCCCATGTCTGGAGATGGAGCAGATGCTTTGGGAGTTGCTGGGGCACAGAGCTGCGTGGCACTGCCTGTCCAGTGTGGGGTTCCCTTCTCACCAGGCCTGTGCAGAGTCAATGTGCCCAGTGCTGGCCCATAGCTCCAGGAGAGGCCACCTCAGAGGCCACCTCCATGGTATCTGAGGTCCTGTGAGCTGCGTTTTGTCTCTGCTGATCTTCAGCAGAAGCATCCAGGTACAGGGTAAACCTTCCCTGCCTCTCACCACTGGAAATGGGGATGAATTCCTGTCCTGGCTGGGCAGGAGCAGGGGCGGGGGCCACGCTGCAGCTCTGAGGCGTTACCCCACCACATCGCCCACCCCGAAGCAGAACGTGCTGCTGGGGGATGGTCCCAGACACCAATAACCTCTGCCCTGCAGCTCCCTGAAACGCCAGCTCGGGACCCGAGTCTCCTCCTGGCCCCTCTTTCCGTGCTCTCTCAGCTCATGAGCCTTCAGCCTCCTGTCATCAGTTTGAACTGTAAATAACGTCTCTGGTGTCGTTGCTTTTTCTCAAAGGCCTCTGTACAGCCCGTGATCCTCTCAGCACGGTCTCGCCCGGGGCCGTTTCTCCCCTCGCCCTCCAGGTCTGTGCTGAGCTTTCCTCCCGCCGTG